CCTGTTAGTAGCAGAATATGGGGCACCCCCGTACTCTGCCGACTGAAATTTTGTTTCTTATCACGCCGTCTACGAAAAGACTCTAATATCCTGAAATTAAGTCACAAAAATATCATAGCACTTGAATCCATCTAATAAATAAATAAGTCAAAAAATATAGATGTGCGAATGAATTAAGTGTATATGAATACACTATTAAATATATAAAACATGCACATTTTCTGACCTATCAAATCTCCCCAAACTTAAATCGTTGTTTGTACCCAAACAACTTAGAACTATAAGCACATAGATGGATAATAAAACAAGTACGTGGAATATTTGCTCAGGGCCTCACAATTCACACAAGTGCATAGTTCAAACAATTCAAATTAACTTATCCGGACTCAAGACGAATCCATTTTAGGAACTCAAACACATCAAGTATCAATCCAAATGACCATCATAGTTTGTCAATCTCTATAACGAATGCACCGATTAAAGCAACTAATGACACTCATCTCTTTGCTAACAATTATAGTTTCCTTCCATTTCTAGCCGAAGTCTAAATGTCTCATTCTCCATATTTTATTTATTTATTTTTTTTCGAATTAGGGAACGGCAGCTCCGTCACAACCCGCGAGTTTTAGTCTTTCGTGCTTGTCTAGATACGGAAATTATTAGATTTATACACTAGATCCCTCACAGATAGGCAGCTGTTGCAGCCCATTATTTTTTCATTTTTTTTTTGTATCAACTTCAAGTCCCCAAACTTAATCAACATGATTAAAGCAATCACAAGCACATCTCAACAATACAAATCGCTTCAAAACCAACTCACCACAAATAAGTCACAAAAATATCAACCATCATGCCTTTGTCCCCAAAATAAAAACACCTCAAGAATTTAACCAAATAAAATTAACTCAAGCCATTTAAACTAGCACAATAAATCAACCAACTCTCATATCATCATCGCAAAATTCCACGTACATGCAATCTCATGCTCACACACAAGCAAATATTCAATCTAAGACTCAAACTCTAAGGGGAAAAAATATAATCACATAATAAACATGAATGCTCACCAAGAAACCACCTCCCCAAACTTAGAGTTTTCACATATCATCGACACCAATAAGCACAAAAAATAGAGGTAAAAGAAACGAGTTCACCGTAGTCAATGAGGAAAAAGTAGCCGAATCATGCACACCATTGGGTTGCCTCCCAACAAGCGCCTTTTTTTTATTGTCGTTGGCCCGACTTATTATTCTCTTTCATCAAAAGACCCATGGCGGCTTCGGAGGTGGCCTCAAGGGAACCACAAATCTCACTATGTCATGCGTGACGAAATTCCCACTCTCTGATGTTGGATGCTTCATCGAATCTTTCCTCCATGATGCTAGTTCCTCGTGAGTATGTAGCAGCCCATGTTCAATCACAGTCATTATCTCACTAAACTCCCATTTTCACCTTTCCTTTTGCTCGATTGCATCAAGAGGCTGGATATTAAAGCTCAAGACATGCTTCAGTGCATCTTTACTCAGTATCCACTTCATCATGGGTGGAACAAGACTTGGTTCAGATTTTATCGGCACAAGAGCCGGAAGAACGGTACGCTTTTTGGCTCCAGCAGGTCGAGTATTGGGTGCAACAGGCAGAGTATGGGGTACCCCCGTACTGGGCTGTTTCGACTCCATTTTCTCTATATTCGTGATTTTTCTGTTCTCCAACTCGTATGTACACTCTTCAGGTTCCTCGAGATCCTCAAAACACGAATGGGTGACGCTTTAACTCATTGGACTTGCTTCGATCCGACACACTAGTCGGTCCATTTGTTCCGCCAATTGGTTCATTTGAACTTGTAAATTCCTTATGCGCAGTCCATGGTTCTCGATGCTCTCCTCTTGGCTCTTGATACTCGTCTCTACACCTTGCTGAAAGGTAAGGGTGTGAGCCATCAACTCCATCACCATATCCTCAAGTGACGGACCAAGATCTCTCTCAACAAATGGCTCGGAGTACTCTTGCATAAATCTCAACGTGTTCAACTTCAATGCCTCTATCATATCCTTGAGCGACGGGCTGAGATATCGCGCAATTGGTGGCTCAGAGTACCCATAGAAAGAGTTTGAATGCTCTCTCGAGCGGTATCCATACTCATCGGTATAGAAGTAGTCTTGTTCGTTCCTTCGCCAACCACTAGGTCCTCTCAAGTTTTGATCTCCAATCCACGGGCCTCGTATCTCCCTCTCATACTGGTAAGGTGCCTGGTGGGTATAAAAGTCGTGATAATAGGCTGCCATCTTGAAAATTTTCGCCAAGCTTGATCAAAAGCGTCAAATATCTGTTACTCTCGCGAGTATGGGGTTCAACAATTCTGTCCAGCAGAGTATGAGGGTACCCAGTATTCTGCAAGAAAACAAAACAAAGAAAAATAGAGGAGGGTAAAGTATGATAAAAATGAAATCCTAAAAAAAATAAAATAAGATAATTCAATTAGTACTAAAAAAATCACAATTCAATAACGACACTCCCCGGCAATAGCGCCAAAGTTTGACCGCGCGTCGCAATGCAGCAAAATTATAATTTATATTTTTCCTCAACTAACCTCTACTAACTAGTAGTAGTGGCAAGTAAGGGTCGATCCCACGAGGAGTGTGAATTAAATTGTGAATTTCTCGTATTAATTGAAACTAAGAACGCAATAAATGGGGAGGATTGATTTAAGCACAAAAACAATTAAAATCTTAAAGAAATAAATAAAATCTAAATAAAGGAAAATAAAATTAAAATAAGATAAATAAGAGAATTTTCTAGTTCACGGTTCTGTCTACACCCTCGACCGACTCGTCTAATCAACTTTGGTATTAAATCTCGTTATCTTATGAAATTACTAGCATTAGGCAACGACACAGTCTGTTACCCGAATTTTTTCTTATTATTAATTTAACCGCGAGACGCTCTACGATTAAACCTGACTTCTTATACAGTCCAGAAAAACGTTTTCAAGATTTAATACAATTAGCCGCTTTACGGATTAGAAAAATAGGCTAGACTAAATAGTGAACTCAACCGCGTTCGTT